GTAGTTGGCATCAAGGGAATGACAAGAAGAAGAAAAAGATCCCCTTCAACATGCTGGTGTTTGGGTCGGCCCTGTGACATGTGACCCACCGTTTGGGCCGCCTGGCTCCGGGCGATCCACCCAGGTGTGCCACCGACGGCCTCCCAGATCACAAGTGGTCCTCCAGAGGCGAAGTCACACGAGTGAGTCACAGGAACGCCCGCACGGTCCATGTGCAAGCTACCTGAGACCAAAATGGGCACGGACCCCACCATCCATGATGAGGATTGTCAGTTCAACCACCGTAGCCAATACCGCAGGCTATCTATGCTCTTGGTAAACATGGTGCGTGATGGGGCGGGCTGTTCAAGTTCTGTGAGGGCGGTTTTGAACTCTCTTGAGCAATGTATGCTTCTGCATGAGGTAGGTAGCGTAGGTAGCGCAAAAAGGACAATGAGTGGAAGGTTGCTGCAACCCGTCCGAGATTTCTGCATCGAACTTGAATCGGCCCAACTGTTCAGGCGCATCTGTGAATTCTTGGAGTCGGTGCAGTTTCTGAAACACCCTGCCTCCGGGTTTATTCCACTCTTGCACAAGCTCTGTGGCCACACGTGCGGACAGGGCACGTACAAGTGATGACCCAGCACACCAACGACGCTGCCCCAACCTGGCGACTCGAGCTCTGCGGTCTCCACGGCTTTGCACAGGATCACACTTACACTCAACTTACACTCTGTTTCACCTTTGGCAAACCAGGCCAGGTGCGACGGGGACATGTCATAGGAGCAAGCTTTTCCCAGCACAGACGCTGCGCGTGGAACATTTCAACAGAATCCAGCACCTGGCCAAAGTTGCCAACATCACTTCCCGGAGCTCCCGAAAATTTCAGAGAGATGTCAAAAAAGGCCAAGACATGGTGACCATCTCCACCTCCACAAACATACCTTACGGCACTCAAGCGTGCAGTCAAAGGCTGACTGCTTCTTTGGCATAGTCATGTCACAACTGAACTGCGAGATCTGAGACAACAGCGGTGATGTGTGCAAAGTGAGCCCGTCACATTGAAGACCCAATCAGCTAGGTCTGAAGACACTAAAGGAAAGCCGTCGAAAACGGCAGAGGGCAGTCCAGCAAACAACAGCGAGTGCGACGTGAGACGTGATGGAGGACGTGATGCCCATGGGCTGCCAATGAGTTGCCAGCACTCATGAAGGACAGCCGAAACGGCTCCAATACGGCGGTGGGCCATAGCGGGCAGCACCTTGGCGGCATGCTTCAGACTGCTCGCTTGAGTCGTTGACAGAACCTGGCTACACTCCCACCACGACGTCTCAGTAAAGCACTTCCCAGCTTGCGCTGGAAGATGAAAAGCGTTCCGCTGAACCTGGAGGATTGAGTAGCACTGCACCCGGACACATGCGATGACGATGTACAGAAGTGCTTCCGAGTTGAGACAAAGTGCTTAGAGGCTGCTGGCCATCGCCACCGCCCGCCACAAGCAGGGCTTTTCCCAAAATGGCACTCACCGAGCCTGGTGGCTACCAGGATTGCAGAGCTACATTTGCCAGACCAGCATTGCAGCATTTTGTCAACCAGAAGCTAAGTCTGCCACCTGAACGTTGACGAAGCATAGGACTCATAACTTCCCATGCATGAGTAAGAGGATTGAAACGCTCGCTGGAATTGAGAGGGCTACCTTAGCACAAATGCTCAGAGCACGAGAAAGGTGCGGCTTCAAACGTTCACAAGCCGAGTGAACGCCCAGCAGCTGCTGTCTGCTCCGCCACAAACGTAAAGGCACCCATCCACGGCTCCTCCTGCACAGGATTGCGCAGAGCAGCATACCGTTGATTAACCATCCATACACGGCCAAGCACTTCGGATGAGGGCAAAGCTCTGCTCACAGGTCAAGTCAAAATGCAAGGACACATGTCACAGGTAATGCCCTACCCGAATAACTCGAAGCTGGCTGCCGGTAATGCCAGGACAGAGACAGTTGCGTCCTGTTGCATTCCAGCGCCCCTGCCACATGGACGGCAACACCTGCTGCAGCGCTGATGACACTCGAGTGGAGCGTGTCTTCGCCCACTGCTGCATATTGCACTTGCATCAACAAAGATGCATTCGTGCGGTCGCCACATATTGACATGCGGCTGGCGTCTGCTGCTCGTGATGACTAGAGAGAGTGCCACTGCCTATTCCAGTGCTGATACAAACAAGTACACTGAGTCCTTCCTGCTAGGCCGACGCTGATACCTTGAATTCTTTGGCTGGGTTTTGAAGCAGAAGTTGTGTTCCAAAGCTATAACCGCCTCTTACTTGCCTGGCTCGAAATACTTGGTTTTGCATTGCTTGTCCCTTGCAGCCGTGTTGTTTCTCCTGTCTAAGATGAAAGGCTCCACAAAACTTTCAGGATCACTGTGCTGAAGCTCAACATCGTCGGCATTGTGCGAACATACTGCAAACGTCCAGCGTCCAACACTTGACTGCAGAAGTTTGATAAGTTGGGACCCTATTGACGGTGCGAGGCAGAAGGCAAGAGCACCTTCAGTTGTGGCCTCCTGCACTTGCCTCCTCACTTCTTACGATGAAAACCCTGAAAGTCCGCAATGGCAAAGGCATGGGCGGGCCTCCCAGTCGCCACGAGCAGGATGAAAACGACATGCACTGTTCAGCACCCCCATGCCGTCCTATGTCGAGTGGCCGAAAGCCGCCGTGCTGCACTGCAGTCTTGATTTCTTTCAGCATCTACAATGCAAAGAGGCCTGTCCACCACAGATGTACAAGCTTCCCTGCAAGATTGCCGCGACTGCATCCGATCGAGACGTCATCTCTGGGCCACTCCGCAGCACCTCACCGATGGGCGAGGGCAGTTTGCATTAGTGAACAAACCAATGATCATCATCAGCAGTCTTCGACGTCTTGTCTTGAGTGCCTCCCAGTCTGGAAATGTCGTGGCGTCTAACATCTGGTTCAGATCCATTCGCTCAACCTGATCACACGATTTTTGCGAGATGAGTGCATGACGGCGGGCAGCGTGGACCGCCGCACTATGCCCCGAGCTGTATTTACCACATTGATCAGTGGCGGAACTGTCACATGGCCTGGCAGCAGGCACGGCATCGTCAATTGGCCCTTGGTTCCAGCAAGCTTGTGCTGTAACCTGCCTGCTTCAAGGTCGGTGCTTCTTTGGCACCCGCCGCAAACATACAGTTTTGTAAAGCAGGCTTTGATCGGACCCATCAATCTCCGCAGCGCTGTCACAGCCTTGGCTCGCTTGAAACGTACAATGCTTTTGCCACGCGTGTTGCCTTATTGCCAACTGCAAGACACACTCGGAAAGCGATCGAAAAAGGACTATACTGTCTCTCAGGCAAAGAGCTTGCTTGGAAGACCTCTCCAATGCATAAGTACATTGCAAACCTGAAAACTGTACGATTGGAAGGAGTAGGCTGGCATGATCCAGAGCATCGTATAGAGACTCGTCCTCGGGCCGACCAACACCCGATAACTGCGGAAACAAGACCACAGCAGCAACTGCACCCAACTCGGCTTGGAGTCTCTGCTCTGCACCAACGGCGGTTCGACATGTTGTCGAAGTGCTTCAAAACCTTGTTCACACATGCACACCAGCCCTCGACCAACCCCAATCGAGACACATAGATAAATCGCATACTCTGACCCATCGCTTGAAAGTCAGGTGGCGCCTGTGATGTAGTCGCGCTTTGAACACTTCTTGGCTCAGAGCCCCAGATTTTGCAAGACATTCACGCAGGACAGCCAACTCTTGTGTGACGTTGAAGATGTCAGCCTGCCCGCAGTAAAACATGCGCGGCTACACGAAGAAGGAAGATGAACTTTGGCATGTGTGATTCCATGACAGCGAGGACCTCCGTGCGGTCCAAGCGTGACAAAACGGCATTCAAACATTCCATCGCACTGGCCCTCTGCGACTACCAATGACCCTGTCAAGCTTACAATGACACTGTAATGACACTCTAAAAGTCCATGAAACCTCGAATGCGCAGCTTCGGTACATCGTTCTACAGCCTATTCAACCTCTGCGAGTCAGTGAGCCAAGAAAGCGGGTCATGGAGACATGTCGCGCAGCGACCAACGAGTTAGGAAAACATAAACCCGCCGTACTTACATCCGCTCGGAACAACCGGGTTTCTTTGTGGGCACCTTTTTCCGCCTACAAACTTGATCCCATCAAACACATTCGGGTGTAATGATCGTGGTTGTGCTCTAGCCACTACCGCAGATGCTGCCCGATAGGATGTTTCACAACTTTCTGAAGTTTGCATCATCCTGTCACACCTCCGCACACACTGACCAGGCAGGAAGCCTGAGCTTTGATGTGCCAAGAAGCTGTGTGGACATTACTTTTAGGATACACCTGCTGACTCTAGGAAACCAAGGACCATCTGCAGGCAATAATCTTGCCGAGCACATGGCGAATACTGAAGAGACTGCAGCCCGGCAAATCATCCGACGACGTGCGCCGGGCGTTCGTTTTTGCATGGGCATGCTCTGCAACTAATCATCACTCATCTGTACATCAAACAGTTGGGATCGGTCTCTCCTTCGGGCTGGAAGGGACGAATGTCGCCCCATGCTCTGAACAGGGAGCTGGTCGCTGATAAACGCTCGTACCCTCAAAGAACAACCCCAAGATTATAATACTAAAGACAAAGATATACCCAAGAGAACGGGATTGCCCTGCTGGCTGCTGGAGCATGACGGCAAGTGTCTACAAGTCGAGTGTCTACAAGTCGAGTGACTGAGACGGGCATGCAGCAATGTACATTGGCAGCTTCTTGTCGTTGGCAAACCCTGCGTTCGCTACCAAGTGGGCTTAATAATGTGCTTTGACCCGCAGCCGCGTGGACGCTGCCATAAAGCGGAGAGCCGCCGTAATGGAAGAACCATCTTACTGCTTACCGATTGCTTGAGGGGTATGCTGAACACGTCAGCAAAAAGTAGCATGCCTGAGCGATCAGACGATGCCGCGGCAGCATTCAACGGCCAGCAAAGCCTGTCGAATCTCAACCGCAATCAATGGTTTGCGCTCCTACCTTGCCAAACATCAGATCATGGATGTCCGAACTAGCCACACGTGTGCCTCAGACAAGCTTTACTGAGTAGCCGCTACTGTAGACCGCCAGGTCACCAGGGAAGGAAGCTTCTACTTTGTTTTACATAACCGCATTGCAGGCCTCTCGGCTCCTTCTCCCAAAGCTCGCCGGTTGACCAGCTCAAAGAATCGGCTTGGAGGTCGGCATCGGCCTGGCGACCGTGAATCAAAGACATTGCATGGCCCCTGAGCACGCCCTTGCCAAGGTCAAGTTCAAACTCCAGAACAAATCAAGTAAAAAATGCTGGCGCGCTTTCCCACTCCCGCTGCCTCCCAGAAGTCGCCATAAAGCAGCACCAGGATGGATGCCTGTTAGAGCACGCCAGAAGGAGGGTACGCGGATTGCAGGAGATGTGTCCTTCGTGCGCCCTGGCTCTTCGACGCCGCTCAAGATGCTTATCTGAGGGGTTGCCTTGCTGGAGGTCGGTTGTTGAACCTTCACGGCGGACGTCTCTCCATCCTGGCAAGCTAGCAGCTTGCACAAGAGATGACCGGGATGACAAGACAATGATCAGGACGGAGGACATGTAGCACTATCTTGCACTCATGCTGTCTTCGCAGCCTGCTCCCCGCCTCGATCATCACCAGCGAGTCTGCATGGAATCCTCTCACGATGCTAGCGGCTTCTTCGAATCTAACCCGTCTCAATTACCGATTTACTTTGCTTCGGCGAGCTTTCTGAAGGTGCTGTTCAGACCAAGTGGCTTCCCACAGCACCGTAGGAGTCCCGCCAGGTGCCCGCAAGGTGTGACAGCCACGTGGCTTCCAGCTTCATCCTCACACGTCACTTCTTGCAACATGTTACCTTTCCAGCTCATGGAGGCCAAAAGGGAACGGAATGGAAGAAGCGAAAGCGACTTCACACACTTGCCCCTGTCGCACCAGTCGGAAAGTGTGTGGCGTCCTCTTTCCCTCTCACACTCGACCATGCGTTCCGCAAGTCTTGTGCTGCCTTTGGGTGAACGTTGTAACTTTTCCCATATTGCTCTGACTACACTTTCGAGTATCGGTCCAGCCACTAGCGAATGATGGCAATGCATTTGCGTGTGACGAGGTAGGAGCAAGAATATTCAACCTTCATGTGCATGACACAGGGGCAGATGGGTGGTGGTTCGCCTTGCCGCAACCATCTTGCATCATCTTGCAGCATGTCTCGAAGCGCTTGGGCGACACGTCGCCAAATGCAGCCGAGCATCTGTTGCTGCTGTTGCAGGCAATCCTCCGAGTCCTGGAAAAGCCGCTCGTTCCCGGCCGGATGGGCCAAAAATTTGCAAACTTTTTTCCAAACAGAAGATTTCATCGGGGCCAGGGCCAGTGTTCTAAGGCCTTGTTTCGAACCTGCCGCTTGACCAAGCAAGGGGGTGGGCCACAGTTCTGCCGCTTGCGAAGAGTAGCACTCACATGCCCGGCCGGCTTGCAAACGAGAAGGCCCACCGACGTATCGTCACACCATGTCACACCCGTCCTTGAGCAACAGCCGACCCAACAGCTTCCTCCAGCCGTCCTTCCCATCTTCTGGGGAGGTGTCAACCTGCTCCTCAGACTCGCAGTCTTTGTGGCGGTTCACTGAATCGAAGGACAGCCCTATTTCAAAGCACCAGGACACAGGATGACTGTATGTACTCGGCCGGGCATCTGTCGACGCCTCGCTGGCGTCATCTGAGTCTGTCTTCCTGATACAAGGCACGATCGATACTTTTATGGGGTGCAGTGTTGGGCTGGGGCTGTGTGTGTGTGTATCGGGCTCCAGAAGAGGACTCAAGACAAGCACAGAATCAATCCCACACGCACACACACACTTTGGCTCGGCACGAACTGATGCAAAGGACGACTGACAGGACAAGACACGACAAAGACGGACTGCAATACTCGTACATGTTCACTGAGGCCAATGATAGAAGCAACAGCGTTTTAGGGTATTTTGGGCTGGCCATTCTGCAGGTACGTGGATCAAGCGTCCTCGATCCATATCAGTTGTAAGCATGGCCCTCTTCGTTGGACCGTCAACCATGCTCACAAGACGGTCCCCCTGCATGTTCGATATAACAAAGGCTATTCGCGCTTCCCGTGCGGGAAGGAAAATTGCTGGCGCATTCCCTGGCGCTCACTGTGCGGAAACAACATTCTGTCAGCGCTACCCATGCGGGAAGGAAAACTGTTTGCGCATACCCTGCGGGAAGATAAACTTGCAGCATTTCAGATGCAAACCACCTGATATGGACATGTGATGCATGCAAAGTCAGTCGCCATGTACAGGCGTGTACACACACACACACATGCACATGCAACAAAGACACAATGGAACCTGCGGTGCCCACGAGCGCCTATGCCATGCAAGCGGATGCAGGACGCAAGCGAGAAGACGAGGCCTCTGCCGGTACGCCCATGTCCACGCTTCAAAAGCCAGTAAGAGGGCTCGACGCCCTCGTCGTGCATGGTGTGCATCCCAGCTAGCCTCAAGAGTGCAAGTCGCAGGTCGCCGGGTCGTCTTAGCCCATTAGCCAGGCCTTTGCGGCTGCTGCATTGAGTTCCCTGGGACAGGCGCAGTGCACACGTCGTGAATCGCAGTGAACGTCGCTTCGCTGCTGAGCCTGAGGATCCAGAGGCCGCTCTCGGCCAACGATCCGCAGCCGTTCGCACACTGCGTCTCCTCCACCAGTTCGTTGTTAATGATGGCGGCCATGTCCTCGGGAAGGTCTATTGAAAGGCCGCTCTCCAAATTACATGGTCAACCAAGTAGCCGAGGGCAGGCCGCACTTCACCTTGTCAGAAAGCTGAGAAGCCCAAGGTTCAAAAGCTTCATGGCCTTCACTTTATGCCTGGGTCAACATCTGACAGCGCCTGATTCTGTCATCTAGCATCCCAACATCTGCTCGTATCAATGGCTGCACAGCCTGGAGCCTGATCGTAAAAGCAAGTTTAGAGTTTCACGGATGCCGGATGCGCAAGGCCACGCCGGCAGGCGCCGGCCGCGCTGGCCAAACAGCTCTACGAAGCTCTCAGATTGATGTGTTTGCCAGGTTCCGGGGTCTGTGGCTATTCGAAATAGGGCGAGAGGTACACGATATTGCAAAGTTGCTTGCCATGAGAGGAATCGGAGCTCACTGCACATTGGGTGGGAGATTCTCAAGCAAAGAAGTCCTGATTGTTTCTTGTTGCATCACTGCGCAACAAGACCCAAGACCTCACATAGACATTTGACATTAAGGCGAGCGACCGTAAGATATGATCTGCTCTGCGGAGTCCGGAATCCCAGTGAGCACGCATGCAAACCTGATACATTCTGGTGCATTCAGTTGCAGTAAAGTGGAGGTCAGAGAGAAGTTGCTAGCTGACACGTAGCATCTTGCAACTCTCAGTGGCAGGCAAAGTCGTGGCTCGATAACCTGGACAAGTACCGAAACTTTCAAAACTACCAACTCTCAAGAGTTAGCTTCGTCTCTGCCTCTCAGCAGCCGACAGCAGAGAGCCGAAAACAAAACAAGCTTTCGGCACAATGCAGCATGAGAAACAAAATGGTGCCGCCATGTGGAGTATTTCTGACTTTGTTGTCAAGAATCTCGGTCTTGTGTCCGAAACCCTGCTTCACTCCCTGCAAACCATCACCAGCCATTCTGATCCCATGCTGCCTTTGCGAGCCCCTGCGAAGCGCGCTGGAAGAGTGCCACATCGCCGGCAAATGCAGCAGAGTCGAGATACTTGGCCTCGGTGATTGGAATCACTTGGATGACTGGGGCCATGCAGAAATAGCTAACATAGCAACACCTCGACTCAACCGGAAGCTGATCTAGCACAGATGCATCCCCCGCGATGCCGGCTGTTTCCAGTCCGGCAGCTAACCCTAGTTCGGCGATATGAACACGAATCTGATGTGTGCGGCCTGGCAAGGCTGTTTTGAACTTAGAGGCTTCGGCACTGCATTGCACTGGAACTCTAAATGCACATCGGATTTCGACTTGGCCTGTGATGATGCGCAGCATCATGAGTGTAAAAGGTCTGCCACTTCTGCGACCTGAGCCAGATTTGCCAAGATGGGCCATCGGGAACGTGCACAGTGAAGACATCTGGCCTGATAAAGGCTCCAATGCTCTAACTCTAACAATGCCGGGGTCTTGAAGCTCGGGTCTGCGCATCTGTAATGCCGAAGCGCAGCATAATGTGTGATGGCACTAAAGCCTCGGCGCTGTCAGTCCACGCCGCTTCAACTTGAATTCCATCAAAAGTCGCATGTAGCAACGCTGGCTGCGACCGCGCCGCCCCATTCAGGATCAACAAACGTCCTTGCAGTCAATCAGTGCATTAGACCGAATTAGACCCATTGCAAGTGCTAGACGAAAGCAGGTGCTGAAAGTCCGGCTGTATGTGGCTAGCGTTTAACTGTGGCTGCCTGCATGTTGAACAGGCATCGTGATCTCGGTTTTTCCTGTGTCACGTCGATCTTGCGGGGCAAACAAAGCCTCCCTGACACTGTGAGTTCTCGTTGCAGGAGTATGCTAAGGTAAGAACTGCAAAGACAATCCTGCGTCATGTCACGGACCGGAAAAGGTGGCGATCTGGAAGAAGCTTCTTGCGCAGACCGCCGGCAAAACCACGTGCGGGAGAAAACTCGGGGCTAGAATAGACTAGACTCTACCTTCCGGGAGCTCGTGAAGAGAGATTCGAGAAGAGAAAAAAGATCAATCGAGGAGCAATGAGGAGCATAACGACCGGACACCTCACCCGATCGTCGAGGATCCAGGCTAGGCTTCGAATCCGCCAGGACTAAGTGAAGCAGTCGGCAACCTGGACCCTTGTCATCAAGGGTTGTCTGGCAAAGCTTTGCGAGCCGAGATTTTAACTTGAATCTAACCTTGCAAGGACATGCCATACAACCAAGTCATGAGAGGGACAAAATCCCCGCCAAAGGCTGTCCAAAGTTGTTCCAAACGAGAGACCCGTGTGCCACCCTGTATCTCCAGGGAGTCCTGTACCCTTGGCCCTCGCGCTCCGTTCGAAGCTTGGACTGCAGCGTACCTTCCACCTGCGAGAAACCCACAGAGCTGCCATAGCCCGTGGAATGGAGAAAAAAGCATAGTGTTGTTGCAGGATGCAGAGGCTCCCAGCCTGGCTGGACGGCAGCCACCCGTGCATCAGGCAGACATAGTTCTGCGATCCAGAGGGGTCAGCAGGGATTGGTGCAGCTACGATCTTGTTGTGTCTATGTCACCGCTTGCTGCCGTATTCTGAAATTGTGGGATGCTTTTTCTGAAATGTTGGGCTCAGAAAGAAACGAGCCTTGCACCAGCTACGAGCATTGCGCTGCCGCAACAAGTCATCCAGAACTTCTGGATCCGAACCCACCTCGGATCTGGACCAAGCTTTGCAGATGTTGCGGCGCAAGGTTTGGCCAAGTAACAAGCAGTAAACCACTCGTCGGCAGATCCAACCGATGGCAAATTGCCTTACAAAGCGTGGACAAACACAACCAATCTACATTCGATCCCGACTGCCTCAGAAGGATCAACCCTTAATCCGGCAACCCAGAACTTTCGATTGCAGTGTGCGTACACGAACAACTCGGTCTGAAGCAGGGTTTATCTCCACAACGGTCGTCTGATCACCGATTGAATCTCGGTCACATGATCAGTGTCTTCGATGCCCATCTGATGCACATACCGCGCAACACCGATAGTTGTGTTTGGCCTTAGATGCAAAGTTGCATGCATGCTACCCGGCATGAGCCCAACAAACTTATATCCAAGCCACGGTTCACAAACACATTTAGGCGGCTTGAACAGTACGAAAAAACCATCTCCACTGTAGACCACACGTGGCTCCTGCAACCAAGGAATGCTTCGACATTTCCTCAACGAGCCGTAAGTATAGAATCCACAGGACACGCCGTTAAGCCATGAGCGTTAGGCATCTACCTTCTTACACAGAGGGCTTGAGAAGTCGTCGCAGTAGCATACAACATGATGACTGTACACGTTTACATAAACTCCTATGCAAGGTGCGATGCAAAACCACAGTAAGATCCCACTTCGACTAGATCTGTCTTTCTGTCTGACTCGAACTCGACATGCAACATCAGGCTCTCCAGTTGAAACTGCAACAGTTTCTCTCACCGACCACTTGCAAAAGAATTGCGATTGCTATCTAATCATGTGCATTTCACAACAATTCCTAGCTGTGATACTCCTTTTGGGCCATGCCTTGCTGACCTGTTCCTGCATTTGTTCGGAAGAGCTGCTTAGTGAGAATATGTCTCGAAAAGTTGACTTCCAAAGGAAAAAGACTTTCGCAGCAATGTCGTGGACAAGGCTTGAGAAAGCAGCTTAACGAGTCCTTCCTCTTCGGTGTGCACGTTCTTCAACATTGCAGTCATCCAGTCTCTATAATGCAGTCTCAAAGTATTCATGGCAGCTCCACCGGGCCCACCCCGGTGGCCTTGAGGCTGAATCTTCCACCATGGACATGCGGGATCCCAGCTTTCAGGGGACAGCGGGTCATAAGGGCAGTACAGACCTTGAATCCTGGCTGACACGCTGCGCGCTGCGTTTATTCCAGCAAACTGCAACTTTGCAAACCCGGCCGCAATACTCAAATCACCAGCATCTGCCACATTTAACCTTGTCTTTCGGGAACTTCGCACGTCTCATCCAGGGAGGGGCTTTAGGCATTGAACACACCTAGGACTACGATGGCAATCGAATTGCTACGATGCACGCCCAAGTGCGTCCACCTTCTTCATTCGGTGCATGGACGTCAGCTGCTGTCCATTGATCAACCCATTGAAGAAAATCACTTCGAAAGCATCTGGCAGTTCATCAGCTGTTAGGCTTCCCAACCATTCTACCAGTAATTTAATCGTGCTTGAAGGGAAAGTCTGACTCACATGACCCTTGACGTTTCGAAACAAGGGATCAAGCGAGCGGCAGAACGAGTGGTGACTACGTGCGTCGGGTCTAGGTGGACAAGGGGCTACGGGAGCGTCTCCCGGCCACGAAACAACAGCTACACACCATCCGAAACGGGACCCGGATCGTCTCACGAAGCGAAATAGAAGCTAAATCGGGGTCCGTCGCCCGCGCGACACCCCTGACTGGACTAGAATCGTCGGAGGCAAGCAAAATGAACAAATCAAGGGATCCGGCGCTTGCGAACGATAAGGAACGAGTCCTGGCTAACTCCCAAGATCCCCACACCTTCAAACGAAAACCTTTCGGCGGCGGATTGGGGGCAGGAAGAAGTCACTCGACACACAATGACACTCACACAAGGTTACGCAATGTGTCACACATTCAGGAAGCATTCACAGGTGGCAAAGCTTGCTTGGAAGTCCTGCGCATCCATTGCCGTGGCCACAACCGACTGGTCCTCACGCAAAGGCAGGCACTCGAAACCGGAAGGCTGACACGGCTCGTCACGTGGATACATGGCTCACAACTGCAATTCCAAGCTTCTGCGATGGCTTCGTCCCCACGCCTTGAATAGTAAACAGGCTGCTCATGCACAGCTTCTCGATTCCTCTGGTGTTTCAAACGAGTGGCCGTCCCTCATCTGCCATGTCCACAATACCTACCAGGCACATCCAAACAGACATCTGCAGCCTCAGCGCCTTTTCGCAGATGTGAAACGAGTTGAGACAGGGCTATGGTACTGCAATGCTACGGACCACTTCACCCACGAGCCGGCACAAATCAACACTGACCAGCGCCTGGCCAACGGCACGTCGCGAGAGCTTCATCAAGTGCTTTAAGATTTGCTGCTGACAGTCTCTGAGCGTTCTCTCTTCCGACAGCATGGTCGCATGCTGCCCAGATCACGCCTTCTTCGTCGTCTTGTGGCTCATCCCATTCGCTTTCCTTCGTACATGAAACACTGGCTTAAGTCTCGGAAGCAGTCACCTGCCTCGGAGTCGAAGTCTATTTCGGGCTCTTCGACCATGTTTATTATCCGGGCTCCTGGCGTGACTGCAACAGTAACAGCAACAGCATGTGCAAAACCGTCTGCTCAGAATGAAACCCTGGGGTCAACGACATCGAGGCACTCGTGCAGTCGTCCATGCGCAGCCACGGCGAAACCGGCGTTCTATTGGTGTCATGCCGGCTTGCCTCGATAAGGACGATGCTGGCATAATGCATTGCAGCTTCATTCACTGATTGGCCTACGAACTGAAGCTTTGCGACACAAACTCAACTGCGAAAGCCAGGCATGACATGCGTTCCTTTCCATCGCCATGCATCCCGAAGCCCGTAACATCGACTTAATATCAGTCATCGCTCCAACTGCTAGCAAAGCTTCATCCGGATCCTCGGTACTTTCGGCATCAGAATCAAGCTTGCCCACCTGACACTGCGTGATCATCAGGACAAGACCCACATCCTTGCGCCACCGTAGTAAAACTTTGTGTCGGAACGTCGCTGCGCGTCACGTCCGTGAAGCTCGACTTTTTGGGGGGCACCGTCAGTCTTAGCATATCTCGGCTGGATTTGGCATGGGTGCCGTCATGGTGATGCTGTATGCATGAGAAACGACCGTGGAGGTGCCGGGGACTGGGGGGCCCATGCCCTGCCTCAAGCGCCAGCTGGCGTTGGACCTCCACCTCCTCGAGAACGAGAACTTGAAAAGAAGTAAGAACAACAGACAGCACGCTCTCAGAGCTTCAACTGAGCCACCCAGGCAGCAGCAATGTCGAGCACCTCCAGGCAGCTGGTGCGTCAACTGAAACCCACTCTCCCTTCTTTGGCAATGTGCATGCGGGCGGCTCGATGTTTCAACCCATCGTCCATGTCGTCGCAGCCTTACTTAAAATGCAGCAGCAACAAGTAAGCTTGCGTCTTCGAATCACTTGATGGTCCATCCACAAAACGCATTAACTTACGTACTTTCTGTGTTGTCCACAGGTACCCGAATCGAGTCCCTTGAATATTTTCGGAGGTTGGCTAGCGGTGCTTCCGTGATCCGAGCAAGCTTTGTATGCACCTACCACGCGAAGAAGGGTTTACACTGCCCATGAACGACACAATGCTGGCAGCGAGAATGCAGAAAGGAACGTCACACCTTGCTTGCAGCCATCCAGAAGCTGCTTATGCATCCTGCCCTCTGAACTTAGTCATCGCCATGTTCGCACCACAAGGCGGTGCTGATATTTGGAGTCCCTTACTGGGCGGAGCACTGGGGCCTTCTGGGACATCATTCGGCATGCTTGCATTTCTCGAACAGGAAAGCCTCGGCATCGGGTCAGTCCAACGGCCCACGGCTCATGGCATGCTCTGCCGCGGAGCCAGAGAGCAGCGCTGCTGACCGGCTCCTCCTCGCTTGGCCTTGGGGATGCGATCTCCTGGCTGTAGACAATCTCGACAAGTTCTTCTCGGATGCTGGCAGACTCTCGCTCCGGCTCATCATGAAGCACTTCGACTGCTCCTGTCGGCAGATGCGAGGCATGAGTCGTGGAAACCAGAGTCGGTGTGTGTCATCTTTCGGGCTTCTCCTGCTGCACTGACTCCGCATCTTCGGAGCCTGATCCAGCTTGCGGATCTGTGTCGGAGTGGCAGAAAGGTCAGGGGCCCGGGCCTACTGTGACACGCACAGGACCTCTTCCGAAGGCCGGGCCAGAGCGGAGCGGAAGCTTCCAGGACTCCTCGGAGCGAGAACAGGAACAAGCGCAGCCTACGTAGGCTGCCGACTCCGCTGCGGGTAAAGCCGCTGGAGGTCGGCGCTTCAGGTGCCGCAAAGGCTTCATGTCGGAGCCGGAATACTTCCCCACCTGCGAAGAAACCTCAGCTGAGCTGGACGTTGACAGTCGCTGAAACAAGCAACTTTGAAGTTGAACCGAACAAGCCGACAAAGCTAAGATCATGATGCGCTCATGTAGTCTGGTAGCCTTCTCTTGGCGATGGATTCTTGGCATCGAGGGCACCTGTCACATAGCTCACAGCTAAGCAAGGCCGAGACCTCCTTGAAGCTGCTAAGTGGCTGGATCTGTCTCCTGGGCCGTGAAGTGAGGAAGGTGCACCTCAAGCGGGAAAGAGCCAAAGCTAAGCAAACGACACATTTCGGTCGTGAGAGGATACGCTAAGGAGGTCTTCGAAGCGCTGGCTCACGGACCGTTGCAAACAAGAAGCCCGCATCCCCAAGCAGCAAGACCTGATCAGACAAACTCGCAAAGGTAGTTTCTACAGCCAGAATCATATCGAACACCCGAAAACCTACACGGTCCCAAGCATCGTCTCTAAGCAAAGGGGCGGTCGTCGACAGCTCTCCGTGACCTCACGTACAATGTGAGCAGAACTCCACAGACCTCTGCGACGCTTTTCACCAGGTCGCACTGCAAATGGAGCGACGCTGACTTTGCCAGCTCTCCAGGAGGGCGGGAGCCTCCTCCACCCTGGCACAGTCACAAGACACGGCAACAGGCTGACATGCTTCGGCATTTGAGTCAATTCCGAAGATTGTCTAACACTGTGGGCGATTCTTGCTTCCAGCAAGAACGAATCAAGTTACTGACAGTTACTGCCGCCTGGCAATCTTTCGAAAAACCGCAGGAAGCGACTCCCGCGAGGTCCGGCTGAGCAAAGACTTCACCACAGAACTGCTTGCCGCCAAGACAGCTTGGGTCACATGCGAACAGATCTGCAAACACTGACACGCGGCGCAGCCTGTTGCGCTCCAGTCGCAGCCAAAGAGGAGGAAGGCCCTCACACAAAGCACAATGTCATTATCAATCAAGGAGCTTGCATGTGGATAAGACCCTCCTGGCCTGCAGCTTCTCAGCCGACAAGGCTGCGTCCACAATGGCCTGCGCAGAAGAATAGACGACATCACGAAATATCAAGAGTGTGTATCTTGATAACACCTGGCCTTCGCACCAACTGATGTGAACGAGTTGTGGGACAGATGCCTTCGCGAGACGAATTCTCGGACAGCTGCTCGCAAAAGATCAGATGGCTGGTGCGGACACTTTCTGTGTCTGTGGTGTTCGCCATTGCAGGAAAGTTTCATTTCCATCAGTCCAGGACTGCTGTGACCTGAATGATGCGGCATGCGAAAGCGTCCGCCGGACTTCATCGAAAATTCCTTCGAGTCCAGCAGCAGAGCGCCGCCAGTGAGACTGCCGCATCATCACCCAGCGCGTTTCTGTACAGCTTCACCTCACAACCGGTCCGGTCACGGTCACTGGTAGACCTAGCATGTGCCCTCATGGCAGCGTCGACCCAAAGCCTGAACCACCGAAAGGAGAACAAAGGACTGCTAAGCTTGAATTCTGCCTTTTCGCCATGTCTCGCTTGTTTGAGCCGAGGCGCAACTCGCAAACTCCTCGATTGAAGCATAAACCGACATGCTCAGATGCCGAACCCCTCTTGCCAAGATGCGTGAAAGTGCAGGATTTCAGCAAGCATTCTAAACCCGCAGCAGTGAGTCGGTTCCTGCAATTTGGTGAGTCCAAGTAGGTGGCGGACACGCTATAACATATTCCCTCCTGCCTGGAGAAGTCTAAGGACGTCAAACCTTCGTGAATATCGCTTTTTGCCTCAACTGAAACAGCTGATGGGCTTGCGGATCAACAACCACTGTCGTGAATCACAAGCAGTGGAGATGCCACGATGGTCGGCAAATCCTCATCCCGCACGCCACGCTTGGCCTCAGACGTACGTCCAAGGATGGACAAACGTGCTTCCTATGTAAAGTTTGCCTCTGTATCACACAAGCAGCCATCAAATCTGAATCGTTCTGTCCAAAACCAAAACCGATTAGACTGCATGAACCGCAATCACTCTCTTTTATCTCCAAGTATCTACCGACAACTCGATAGCTCAGAACTCAACTTCTGCCGAAGTTTTCCAACTAAGCTCAGACATGTGACCCTTGCTGCCATCCATGCTGAATGCCTGCTGCCTGTTTTGTTTGGAAACGCATTGCAACAATGCTCTTTCCACCAACAACCTTCTGATTTCCATCTGCAATGGTTTGACCCAAGTCGGCCAACCCCATTGAAACTGTCAAGCTGGCAAATCACGTCCTTTACTTCCCAACATCTGCAATTATACTTGCCTCAAACCGGCCAAAACCCATGGAAGCTGTCAAGAGGCGAAATCACGTCTGCTGGCGACTTGCGCTGGTGCCATCACCTGCAACAAACGTAGAAACATGCTGTTCAGAGCATACCATACCGAAGTGTGTTCTGAACAACAGCTGACAAATCAATAGTAGGCCTGCTCGGTGGATGCGCACCTCCATTTTGACCCTGTTTCGCATACGAGCCAACACACGTGAACGGTGTACATGAAAATGTGTGGACATGTTCATGCTCAGACACACTCACTTCTGG